ATATATATATATATATATATATATATATGTATGAGACGCTGGTTAATTTCGAACAATTGGTGAAATCTATGGTACATATTGTGTAGCTCTGAATCTGTCCTAATATCTTCCGAAGAGTTCCGATGATAAAAATTATTTGTTAATAAGATAGATTTATTTGGCTCTTTGCCCTTCTTAGTTTTGTATTGTTTTATACATATAGAGCCTTCTCACTAATTATTTTATTTGTTAATTTTCAATCGTTACCAAGTTTGGAAAAAAACAAAATAGTATGTCTACGTTAATGCTTATAATTAAAAAGAATACTCTATATAATTCTTAGTGTATATGACTAAATATCAACATTCAAACATATATACAGCATCTGACAATAGTAAAATAAGATTGCTCACTACTTTTAAATGCATATCATAGATCTTATTCCTCAGATTTTTCGAAGTCATGATTGTTATTGTATTTTGCATTTTATTGATTCCTAGTATTCTTACGTCACAAAAGTAAATTATTTAATGGAACCATTTTATTAAAATAGAAACGGAAAACAAATTATTTAGATTAAATATTATATATAGACTGTAATAATCTAGTAATTTTAATACCTTTAAGGAGATTCTTAAATGCTGTATAATCTGTTATACTCAGAGGAGACATCGTCTCAACTATGAATTTTGTAATAAGTGTGTTTATGAATAATTGATCATCTTGCTTAAAGGATTCTGAAATTTTAAGTTGTCTCAGTTTTTTATTTTTCAAATTTTTCATGTTCTGAACATCAAGAGGTGTTTTTTTGGATGCACGTAGATTTCTTCTTTATATTGGTTATATTCTTTGAAAGCATCAGAATGACGGTAATTATACAGAATAGCTACCTCAGCTCAAAAATTGATGAAATTAAGTTTATTCGTTGCGTTTTTGTATGAAACGAAAGAATCTGGCAGAAAAAGGTATCACTCTGCCCTACGAACCGAGATATTTTTTTTTAGCGTTAAAGTTTTTTTTTTTTAGTTGGACATACAGTTTAACGCCGAATCCGAATGCCAATCACGTCTTCAGCTCTTAATCTTAGCGATATGACGCAAAGAACATCCAATTCGAGTAATCAACTCGTAATCAAATTCTATTATTTTTAACTATATACATTCATATCTATTTACACTCTAATCCTGGCATCTCTTTTACTCTTTATCAATATACTTTTTCACTTTAATAACTCTTATTCTTTTTAACAACTATCTTTATTTCTTTGTAAACTCTTACACATTAACCGTGAAAAAATCACGTATATGAGGAGTAGGCGGATTCGAACCCGGATCCACAGATCACTTCTTCTTCTTCTTTTATTGGCCCCGCAGCCCTAACGGGCTGGTACAGAGCCACTGAGGTCCTCGGAAAATGCAAACAAAAACTAATTTCGGTATACAAGGCACCGGTAGCCTCGAAACCGGGCAGATATGCAAAGATGATGCAATAACGGTCAAATATGGCGCCTCCCCCCAGACACTGGACGCCTGTAGCTACGGCGCCCGTACAACGTTCTTCGCACCGCACGGCCACGCGCCCAGACGAGTGAGAGGACTCTCGATGTCAGAAATGCAATGCACAGTCGAAGTCGGCAACACTTCTCAAAAATATTGGTCGAGGCGCAATATATCTCGAAACGGGGCGAAACACGTCTGTCCAGCTCGAGTGTCCTCACGAGACTATCCACAGATCACGAGTCAACGCATGGAGCCACACGGCTCCCCTAGCGTTAAAGTTGACGATTATGGAGGTTAGGAAATCTGTCATACCGACTACATGTAGTACTATAAGTTTGCCTTCTTCATGCTCTCTGACCTCATGCGCATGCGCTTGGTATCGTTTCGGTCCAACATAATGCACGAAATTTAAAAATTAATATTTCTATAATTGTACTGTCGCACATGGGTTTCGACTAAGGGGGCGCATAGTCGAACATGTGCGACAGTACAATTACAGAAATATTAATTTTTAAATTTCGTGCATTTTGTTGAACCGAAACGATATCAAGCGCATGCGCATGAGGTCAGAGAGCATGAAGAAGGCATACTTATGGTACTACATGTAGGTATATTTAAATTTTTGAGGTATTATTATTATGTAATCATTTAATTTTTAAAGGTTTAAATTTTTAAGAATCCTTTTTTGAACATGGCTTGACCTTTTCATTTTTATATGATTTTTTTTAGGACATCACTTTTTAGAGTACAGATATGCGGGGCAGTTTTCTAGTAATGCAAATATCACAAATACATATATTTTTTATTCTTACTAGCACATTCCTTGCGCGCGCTATGCGTGCGCTTTCCGTATACTTTAAACAATATTTAATTAAAAGTGATTGATCTTTATTGATTAGATTAATTATTTTTTTCCTTTTTTTTCAATTTTCAATTTTGTCTTTTTTTTATTTTAATATTGTTTATCCTTTTTTTTTAAATTTATTTTTCTTTAAAGTTATTATATAATATTTTTAAA